CACGGGATCGAATTCGTAGAGGCGAGTTGTTTTTGTCAAACGGTCGACTCGTCATAATCGCACGGTATCGATTTATTCGAACACCGTTCAGAAGACACTCCCACGTATAGGGTTTCTCGGCAGAAGTCGTCCACGAGAAAATCACTAGCCATTCGTCTCCTGACACTTGGATGCGTACGGGAAGTGTCTCGGCAACAGTACACGTGTACACATCATGCGCACGCAAAAAACGTGAATCGTGAATTTCTCCCAGGACGAAAGAGTAAAGTACTATTCACACTACAACGGAACGGAGACGGGACGGAATCCGTACGGAACCCGTCCGGTCATGTAACAAATATTGTTTCTATGTTTTTAAATGTAAGCGTTCATATTTATCCGGAACGATAACGGAACGGTGCAACGGCCCGGGGACGGGCGATAAAAATATTCTTTGCGACTATTCTTGAACGGGTTTCCGTCCGGATTTTCCGTCAAATCGTATGAGAATCGGCATTCGACGGACCGCATGTAGTCAAAAACATATTATTTGTTCATATAATCATTAGAAAAATTAGCCATTTTCGATGTTTAATAAACGAGAAATAAGGTGCTTACAACTGACACGTTAGGACACAAATGACTTACATTTTTGAAAATAAGTTCATTAAATATTTAATAATAATAGTTGCTATCATTAGTCATATTGATTTTACGTTATCTATTTAATCTAGCCCTGTCCGTTCCGTTTAGTGTGAACGCAACAGAACGGGTGACCCGGACGGATGAAATTCCGGCACGGTTCCGTCCCGTCTCCGTTCCGTTGTAGTGTGAATAGACCTTAATTGTGTCCGTACTGTACCGGCATAAAAAATATCGATAACTCCTGAACGCGACGAACCATCCACCCGCGCACGGAAACACGGCCGCCGCAGCAGCAGCGGTCGGTCGCCAACGCGATAACGATAATCAAAAGCGGTTGACGCGGTCTCGCGATCTTTCCGATACCGCCCGTATCATGTAAATCAACAATTAGAACACGGATTGGAGCACGGTATGATCTATGATGTGGGGACGCGACGGTGAAAGTCACTGGAAATTAAGCTCCGGGGAAAAGTGGACGGAAAGGGTAGCGGACGATTAACGCGCATACGGGCGCCAGTGGTGTCGACGCAGCGGTCTTGACGACGTACTGGCAGTGCATCACACGTGGACGTTTCGTTTTCTACGGTTCCCGCGTAATTGTCCTCCAGACGACTGCTCACATCGTTTTAGTGGTTGTTGTTGTGAATTTCTACGTAAATCACGAGGAAACCCACGCCGGGTCCGACTACGTGGCCAACGGACGGCAGGAACCGCAGCCCTTGGTGATCGGAAATGCCGCAGCATAACCTATATGTGTTCTATCGGTGAACGCGATACGGCTACAAGAGACCGCGAAGAGTACGTTATTTACGTACCGTAGGATTTTTATACTTTTAAAACGCAACTCGTCAAGTGGGTAAACATTATTTTGAATATTGCTTTCGTGCGTGCAGCGCACAATAATATGCTTTTACGTATCATTCCACCTGAACCGTTGTCGATAACACGGTTACGTCAAGCAATCGTGATAATAGCCAAAGAATTCCGATCGGGCTCGCGAACGAGACGAAACAAACGTATATAAAGTTTACCATTAAATCTCGTCGACGGACCGTTGAAAAGCAAAACGAAAAAAAAAAAATTGTTCCGTCCATTCCTACCCGGACAGTTGTTGGCCGTGCTCAGTGGTGACACGAAGCGAACTGTATCGCGGCGGTCGCGGTGCGCGGGACACGCGCGTTTCGAACGACGTTTTCACGCGAGGTGTTCGAACGTCGGCAGTGGCGGCGTACAGGTACACGCGTGAGCCGAGGCCGCGGCGATAACGGCGGACGCGACGTGCACATTATTTAGGAGCGTTACGCCGAGCTTTGAGCCGACCTTGGGCAGCCGCCGCCGCCGCCGCCGCCGCCGCGTTGCTGCAGGTACACAGCGCCCAGTATTTGTAATACTATAATGTTATCAACACGACACTCGCCTTCGTCGTAACTCGTGTGGCCGCCGTGTATACACGGTTAGCGCGTGGTACCGTCGGTACTTTTTTTTTTTTTTCAACGCACGTTTGTTATTGCGCACCGCTGCCCTGACGACCGCGAACCCTTCCCGTCCACTCGACGACCCGACGTCACCGCACAAATACCACAATAATAATAATAATAATAATACATGTGACCTCGCCGCCGTCTCTTTACCGCGCGATATTATAAACACACACACACACACACACATATACACTGTCCCCGTCTGGGCGATTCTATTATTATTATCATTATTATTATTATTATTATTATTATTATTATTATTATTTTTATAATTAATAACGCGAATTAGCAGTGATTTCGTTCTACGCGAAGGCACACGTAATGCGAAAACGTCGCGTTAATAATCACACTACAACACGGCTGTTGGGAAATATGTTACAGACACAGTGCCCGTTCGGTGCAGCTCCGCGATGTTGCATTCGATGTTCAATTGTTTTAACGAACACGTACATAGTAAATAACGGTTAAAAATTGCGCGCGTTGAATAAAACACCCGTTTCCGAAGTGACATTTTTGTCGGGGTGGTTTTCGAATTCGTTGCCAAAAGAAAAACCGATTGTCCCCGGAAATTATGGGGTATAGAGTGTGAACGTGTCGTCTTCTATGGTGACGCCAAGCCGAAGACGGTAAAAAGCACCGAATTCGACGAGAGCCGCATGTAGGCCGTAGGTTTTTCGATTCGTTGCAGCAAACCGAACGATGCTCGTTAAAAACGATCGCAACGACGGATACTAGGATACTTGAGAAAAAAAATTAAGAAAAACAGCTCTTTTTTGATTCGTTTTCACGGTCGGTTGTTTTTTTTTCATGATCCTCGCCTAGATGGATGGAACCCCCTTTACGGCCAAAATTAATATTTGGCCAGTACACTTATTTGGTTACGGATTTTAATTTTTAAAATATATAGAAAAATAGAAAAACATGATTTATTTTTTCAATTTTATAAAAATAATTTTTTTTCCCATAGAAATGTAATAAACGATTTAAATGATACATAACAACTGAACCTTCCTTGATACAGATGTCTGACAATTTAATTCAATTATTTTAAAGGAAATGTGACGATCGATAAAAGTATATTTTAACATAAAAAAAAACAGTGACGATACTAGTAACGGTTTAATTATTTCTAAATATTCGTGCAAAAATGTATTAATGTATACAAAGTTCATACTGTTTTATAAAAAACTTACAAATGTTTATATTCATGTAAAGTAATTAATATATTTCTTTAATTTTAATTTTTACATAATATTTAGATGTAAAATTATCAGTGATAAGAATTTATATTATTATAGAAATTTAAAAAATCATGTTATTTCATTTAATTTAATATGTAAGAAGTAATAAACTTTTATTGTCGTTTTTTTTCTTTTAGGTTAGTACTTTATAAAATAACATAACGATTAAAATGTATTAAACAATAAATCTTTTCTTTTAGCAACACTAAAATTGTTTATTATTATTACTACTTTAATAAACTCAATAACCAGATAAATAATCTTATATTCATAAATGTATTTTAACAATCATTATTCGTAAGAAAAAAAAATTGACTCTAAAAAGACAAATACTTTCTTCTATATTTTAAAAGTTTAAACTGTGAACAGAACTAGTGTACTGATCGAAAAGGGAAACGTTAATTTTAGCCGAAAAGGATCCCATCCGCGGAGTGAATGACGGTGTCCGATAACCGGCGTCTGCGGCGTGCACAATTAACCACGTCGTCGACAATACACCCGTTTGACCGCGAATTTCTAAACAGATAATGTAACACGTGCATGTTACAAGACCGGCAGTGTCCGTGCTCTAACGACGCATATTATGATATAATTATCGAGTTAACGACGATGAACCTGTGGGGCCGACAAAAGAAAACGACGTAGTACAATGTAAGAGACCCGCGGGCGTGAGGAGACGAGATCTGGTCTATGCAAATCTATATGTCGATACCCGTAGCGTCTACAATGTATACTCGTACATCCCTCTCAGCGGTGATCGTTCGTCGAGCGAGGCACGCAATCAGAACCGTGTCATACATATCAGCGCCCCGGGGCAAAATTTTTCTACGGGGCCACTGGGCGTAGATAGAATAGTAAGTGCAGATAAGGGCGCCCCTTATTTTTACAAAACTACGGCGCCCGAGGATAATTTCCCCCTTTAATCCCTCCTTAACACGGCCCTGCATCACTATAAAAGCGGTTTTTTTCTAATTGATGCGTTCAAATTCCTTTCCTACTGAAGTGACGGCTCGATATTCTTTACTCCGTGAGACCACCATTTTTTCAAGACCGTCGATCAATTTCAACGTCGTGTGATATCACAATAATCAAACAATTACTTACATTGACACGTTACGCGTCTTTTGGCTTTTACACTTGATTGCAAAGCAAAAATAAATACATCGATCAGTTTAGTCGATTTATTGTAACATAATAGCGCTGTATAATAATACGACGATAACGCGTAAGTTTGCCGTTCGTCCCATGTGCCGGTCGTTCAGTTCGTCCCACGATTCATAAAACATAGTATATATTGTGCACTATATCATTATACTATCTAAATTACTAAGTATAATCCACGCATTATCGTGTACAATAATTTATTTTCATATTAAACGGTGGATATTTAAACCGCAAAAGTATATACTTATTTTTATTACCACATGAGCGTTAGATCAAAAAATCAAAACTCATTCAATACCGTGTTCCCCGATTTAGAGATCTCAAATCGAATAACCCCAACAGTGTACGTGCGTCAGAACAATCGTAGGTACTCCGGTGTTCGGGCGCAGGTAGAATAAAAAAAATTTTGCTACGGACGAGACCGCGGTCTCACCGTTATTTCTACGAAGGTTGGCATGCGTTAAGATATGATGACTACGCGGTAGCTTACCTGTTTCCGTTTCCGAGAGGAGAAGTGCACCGTGGATGTCTCGTCGATTTGCTCTTTGAACGTCTCGAACAGGTTAACCACTTCCGCGTAGTCCGGGTGCCCGTGTGACACCTTGATGTACGCCTTCCAGTTCTCGCGCTTGTAGCCCCAATGGCACGAGTTGGTGCCCGTGAACCGGTGTATGTGGTTGACGAATCGCTGGGGCGCGAACAACCCTTTGCACTCGACGCACTGTATGCACGCGGAGAACTTCTCGGTGTATAGCTCGGGCATGCACACGCCCCGGGTCTTGCCGAACACATCGTGGAACACCTCGAACGAGAACGTGACCACGTCGTCGGGCACCTGGGCCGGCGGCGGCGGGTGCCGGTGCAACAGCGCGAAGCACAGCCGCTCCGCGTTCGTCTTGGTCATCAGGCCGCATGACGGTGCCGTCGCCGGCAGTATCTGGCAGTGCTTGAGCATGTCCAGCTGCTCGGGCGTGCACCGCGAGCAGTAGATGCGCAGCTCGTCGCACACCTGGTTGATCTGGGTGAGCGTGAAGTCCCGCAGCACCGTGTTGAGGATCAGTGGCAAGCACAGCCGCATCTCGCCACCCACCATGAAGCACGCGATCTTCTCCCATTCCAGTTCAGTTTCGAACAGCTCGCAGCCCGACTGGTCCGGCACGTACAGCACCGGGTGCAACGGCGGCGGAGGCGGCGGACCCGGTGCCGGGGACTTGCAACCGTTAGGCTCCGCGTCCCCACCGGTTCCGCTGGCGCCCCCGTTCCCTGCTGCGGTCATCGGTGCCTTGGGCGAGCACACCGCGACCGCGGCGCCGGTCGGCTCGTCCAGCACCGAGTTCGGTCCCTGCAGACTCCTGGGCGCGCTCAGCTGATACGTCTTCAGCACCTTTTTGATGTGCGGATTGTTCACCTGCTGCTTATTGTGCTGTTCCTCGTCCATCTCGGCCGCGCGGCTCGGCAGCTCCATGATCGCGTGTACCATAAACGTGCGCACCACCGCTGCACGCACACGACGTAGAACTCGTTACGCGTTAGGGTTCCGGTGGCACACCGCTCTGAGTGTTGCTGCAGCTAATGCTCGACGGCGCCCATCACAACGTGGCAGCGGGCGCGAAAGCATCGTCGTCGCACGGTCCGGCGGAAGCGATGATCACCGACAGCCGCGGCGGTAGTGCGGACGACGGCATGGATCGCGACAGAACGACCGCGTCGGCGACAGCGACACCGACACCGGTACGATCGTCTGGGGAGGTGTCGGCGTGTAAAGCGCGACGGCACTGTGCGCGCATACTACGGTGACGCGGGGTCGAGGAAAAATTTTGAAAAAAAAATTAATCGGAAATCGACAACGGTGCGGACGGAACAACAACAACAATATACCGTTCGGTACGAATACGTTTCAACAATATGAAATCGTATTTACGTACACATCGTACCGAGGACAGGATAAAACAAATATTCTATTATTTCAACGAGACAATAATATTAATATAAACGATATTAATTTTATTATTATTATTATTATTCCAACACCGAGAACGAACGCACTATATAAATATACCGCGTAAAACACACGTTCGCACTAGTACGTATACGCGCGCGCTCGCAGTACACGGTCGAACGTAATAAAAATTATTTTATTAATACAATAACAAAACGGTATAAATAAATATATATATATATATATATATATATATATATTCGTATATACGCTTAAATAAATAAATAAATAAATAAATAAATACAAGTATGCGCACGAACACACATACACAGACGTCGCGACGAGAAAAACAAACGCACAGAGACACTCGCTTACGCGCGCGCGTACACCACACGAATGACTGTACGATTGCGACGGCGGCGACGGCAGTGTGGACGGTAGAGTAGTAGTAGTAGTAGTAGTAGTAGTAGTAGTAGTAGTCGTCTGTAGTATTAGTAGTGCCGGCGGTGGTGGTGATGGTGAGGTAACGGCGGCGGTGGTTCGGTGGCGGTGGAGGTGCCGTGACCGAGTCGAACGTAATAGCGCTGCTGGCCCCCGATCGGCGGCGGCGGTCGGACACGCAGACGGCGGCGGCGGCGACGCAGACGCATCGGCAAACAGAGTGGGAAGAACGCACGGAGTGTTATGAGCGAACGCGGACGATGGCACGGGGCGGGGTGGAGGTGCTCGCTCACGCACACAGGCGCACACAGACGCACACGCACGTACCGTATAGTGCCAATGTGCGCCGCTGTCGGCCGGGCGGAACGGTAGCGGTGGCGGCGGCGGCGGCGGCGGCGACGTTGGCAGACGTCGAGACCAGACAAGGGTCGGCGGAGGTAGCGGCAGCGGCGGCGGCGGTTTCGTATTGTGTGCGCGCGCAACTGTCTGGTCGCAAAAACCCGAAATTGTTCACTGCGTCATATTATTATGATTATAATATAAATCGATGCGCGCACACGCTCACAGTTTCACCCACATCCTGTGTGCGCTATGCGTAAGGCACGGATAATTATGCATAAAATATTGTGCGCCAAAAAAAAAAAAAAAAAACTTAATTTAATTTATCGTGTTGTACACGAGACACGATTTTAAAATACGCATCACACATGTAGATGATAACTGTAATAATTTATAGATAATGGCACGCGAGAACGTTTTAACTGAAAACGCGGGAATCGCCCGTCGTCGCGACAGTACAGGTCTAGGAAATAATCCATCGGACAGTACTCGTAAGACAAGATGTAGGATTGTAACGTCCCCTCTTTAAATTTCTTCGAATCTACTTACTGATCGGATCGAACTCTTTTAAAAGTATTTTTATTTTTATGAGGTCTTGGGTACTTATTGTTTAGCACACAAACGTATAGTAAAAGCCATGAATAAAAATCGAAAAATGAATTTTGTGAATCAGAAAAAAAAATCAACTACGGTTAGGTGTACGGTTAACTGTTACGCTTATAAGAGATAAAATAAATATGATTAATAATGAAATTTAATTTGATTATTACTTATATTTTAAGTAAATGAAATTAACCATTTTTGCGGTAATTTGTATTCAAACATGTAAAAATGTGCTAAAAAAATTATTAATCCTATGAATCTATACATTTTGAAATCAAAATTATTCAAGACTATGCATTTTCATAAGTCTTTTTACAACTTATAAACACACGTTACATAGTTTCACGTACAAAGTTTGTTAATTTTTGGAAAATAACTCGATTTTCGATGAACCTGTTTCTTTTTTCGTCAATCTCCTTCGCCCTACCGACCTCTAACTAATGGCTACGTTTATGTGAGCAACGCCTTTTACCGGGTACGATTTTGGAGTGAAAATCCTTAAACTCAACGCTGTATTTTATTTTTTATTAGGGAAAACCTTGTGGTTCACGCGTGTAGCGGCGTTGTACGCGTTTCGAATGTTTTACCGTTAAAACATGATTGAAAAGTAAAACCGAACGAGACGAGAACAATTCGTCCGGGTCGTCGACGGTGTTGATTAATCCGCCCCGGGCGGTGTGCGTTGACGTTCAAATCGTGGCCTCCGGAGCGAGCGCGAACGACGGCAATAGCGAGCGGCCGGGCGCAGTGATGGTGTCGGCGGATACGTGTTTTCGGGTGTGTCGCGTGCCGCCGGTGTGTGCGTGTGCGTGGCCATGGCGCGCGCGTGTGCGTGTTGTGCACGAGACGGCGGAGAGAGCGCGATCGTATGTGTGCGTCGGTCGGTGCGTGTGCGTGAGCGGTTACGCCGCCGCCACCAGACGCAGACGTCGGCGAAAAAATATCAACGAACGTTGACCTCTCGTCATCCTCGTCTGGCGGCGGCGGCGGCAGCGGCGGCGGCGGACAGCACCAGCACCAGCACCGGCGACCGGTATGATAGCCGCGTGCGCAACGATATCACGACGACGCCACGGACTACCGGCACGCCGATGTTGTTGATAAACGTTCAACAGCGCACTACCGTTCGGACCGCGTCTCCAGCACCGCCGACAAACGTAACGCAATCGAAACGACGTGTACCACCGCACCGTGAGCACGTCGTCACAACAATACTGTGTGTTGGCAGTGCACCGCGACCTACTGGTACACGCCGTGCACGGTTCGTTTTGTTAATCGTTTGTTTTGTTTGTGCGCTGCACGGCGGTCCTCCCGCCCGTTCGATTTGATTTCTCCCCCTCCCCCTCGGCATTACTCATCGTCGTAATTTTTTTTTCGTCCCGTCTAATTTTTTTTTTTTTTTTTGATTCTCTATTAATCTTTCCCGCTCCGTTGTGTCGCGCGTCCGAAATAATTGCGTAGTAAGTAAGTACGTATTATAAGTACGTTTACACGGGCACTACTCGGCTCTCGCGATCGCCCACTCCTCCCGCCTGCGTACGCAATGTCGGCGATCGGACGGCGGTGGGGGGCTCGGCGATTACGCGTGTACGCGCGTGCGCGCGAAAAAAAACCATTTTCGCGTGCACCGTACCCGTTGCACGTTGCACGCATTGTGTACACCGCAACGATAACGTGTTGTGCCGCGGACAATAGCGATAAACAATGTGTGCGCGACCACTGAGTGTTTTGATGAATTATGCGGAACGCGTTCTTGAAACCGACGCGTCACTTTTAATTAGCCGGAATACGAAAATAACGTATGCAAACATTTTATATTATTACGTCTTCTCCATGTCTCTCTCTCTCTCCCCCCACCCCTCCATGTTCTTTTCGCGGTAATAAATAATAAAATGCGCACGCAGACTACGACCACGGTTTATCCGTTCCGAATGCACTATAATGTATACTTTACGTTATACTGCGTGGTTGTCGTACGGTCCGGTACGTACGGTCCGGACGGCTACACTTTCCCTGCCCCACTCGACTGCTTTTCGCGCGTAAGACGACGTACGGACGAGGATGCGCACCATAATATAATGCATTCGTGTACGTACGACGGTACCATATGAAATATGCGCGTGGTGTACATGCTGTAATGCGCACATGTTGTATGCACGTGTAATATATATATATATATATACACGAATGCCCACGGCGACGATGCATATAATAGGTGTACAACACACATCCTCGAGTCGAGGACACGACTACGCGCAAAGTGCACACCGCACCGCTGGCCGCTGGGATTGCGAAATACGAGAGGCGCATACTGCAGTTATTATTATTATCCTATACGCGTACGATGCGGTTTTATTATTATTATAATTTTTTTTTTTTTTTACTCCTCTCTCGCTACCGCGCCACCACCACCCGCTAGATTGTCGTCTTATTGTTTCTTATTTATTACGCGCGGCTCGTGTTTAACATTGAATTAGTACGCAATTAGTGACGTGCGGCCGTCCGGGAAGAACGTGCAGAAACTGGTCACACTGGTGTACTCGGTGCGGCGAAGGATTAGGACAGGAATGCGAACGGAAAATAGAAAAGCGGAGGGAGACGCAATGTAGCAGCTCCTCCGTCCGGCGCGTGGTAAATAACATTGTGTATGGAAAGAGAAGAGGAGACCGCGGTGACGGTCGGCCGAGAATCGAGATAGATTGTGCCAACAAGATTGCCAACGCGCTTTTTTTCATCTTATTCTTTTCTTTTCTATTTTTTATTTTAAATATATATATATATATATATATATATATATATATTTCTTCTGCTGTTCATCTGTTCGTCCGTCGTGCGAGCCAACTGTTGTTCTCGGATAACGATTGTACAACCCGGGGTGGATAGGCCCATAGGAAAAAAGGGATTTTCCTTGTGGGCCGTCGCCCTATATTATGTAGGTGGCCCATCCGATACCATTAATTTTTTCATGGAAATTTATTATTTTTTTTTTTTTTTTTTATAGTTAAATTATTAAAATTAAATTAGGTAGGATGAGTAAATAAATACATTTTTTATAAGCAATTTTTTTTTTCATTTTGGTGGCCCCATTAAAGTATTTCCCTGTAATAAAAAAACTACCTATCCTTCTTTGTGTACAACACTACAGCAACGAAGGCTGTGGCATCAGTAGATTACGTGTGTAGGTACTACGCGTGCGAATGATACTATAATTATAATAATAATGATAATAAATAATTATGGTCAGTGGGTATTGAGGGTAGGTGGGTATCGACAAAATATACTTGCCTCTGAACATTTTTGAGTTCGCCACGCCACTGATTATAGTTACAGTAGTAATAATAATATCATAATATGATATTAAATTAGTTTTAAATTAATATTATTAATTCAAAACTGTACGCCGCAAAAAGAAACTGTATCGGTAAAACGATGACATACGGTACAATCGCATCCGTTTCCGATATCTTCAGTAGCGCGATTTTTTTTTTTCATAATATGCTTTTCTCACCACTGGAGGGAGAACTCTGTAGACCAAATATTCCATCAAATATTAAAGTAACCATGGTCTTAATTCCATCAGGTATTCGTTAACTCCGACCCGACGATTTCGACACGTTTACAAACTTGCCAAGGCGAAATCAATAGTGATCATCCGTTTAAGCTGTGGGTCATTATTGACACTTGACCTTCCTTATTAAAATTCATGATTTTATGCTCTACCGAGTTCATCTCGACATGGAAAGCTTTTGAAAAACACGGCATCAAAAATAAAAACTCTCCGAAAGTTAAATGGTGAATACTGGTTTACACTATCACTTTGTTGGGATTTTATTGAAACTTTTATTCTTGTTGTGCGATATTTATTTACTACGTTCCGCCGAATCGGCACCGATAGAGCAACTTTTTAAAATAGAAAAATCAAAAACACCCATACATATAGATTTAAACTTGTTGGATATCCCGACGGAATGTAGTGGCAATTAAAAATTTTTTCGGATTTTACATAGGATTTTCGTGTACACACACCGTGCTGTTTTTTCGTTAGGGTTTCGGTGCCGTGCGCAACAACGGGAAATTATAACACGCGCGCAACGCACATAACGTAAAATCGCGTATAACGTTCGACGGTGAAGTGTTGTACTCCCCGCGTGACCTTTCGTATGATTATCATCGATTATGAACAACATCGCCGGAATTTTATCGCTACGTGTATCGTTTATTGTGTTCCGCTCGCCCGACGCGTCCCGAATTCCCAAGTCCCGTCGGTGGCCCGCGAAGCACCCGCGATGACATATTTTTCACCGCGGCAATAACAAATCGGTAACGACATAACCGGTGTACGTCGTCGTCGTTTATCATACG